TGTTAAGGAAGCATGAGGCTGAAGTTAAAAGTTGGAAGAATGAGTTTTCACCACATGCAATGCATCTCTTTAATGACTACAAGGTCATTGCCCAACGATGTAAGGTTGAGTTTAATGGAGGTTGTGGATATGAAGTGACCGAGGGTGTGGATAGGCATACAATCAATATAGAACTTAAAAGATGCTCATGCAGAGTATGGGACTTATCTGGAATACCATGTCCTCGTGCCATCAAAGCATTTATCCATAAAAAAAGTTGACCCTATTGCTGAAATACACTGGTGGTACTCTAAGGAAGCGTATTTGAAGGTATATAAGCACAAGATCGAACCAGTTAGAGGTGAAAACTTTTGGAAGATTGAGCCGCACCATGCCATGGAGCCTCCTACTTTAGCTAAGATGGCTGGTAGACCAAAGATGAAGAGAACAAGAGAGAAGGATGAGGCTAAGAATAGGCAGGGGGCTTGGTCAGCTTCTAGAAAAGGAATGTTAATGACTTGTGGTTATTGTGGTGAACCAAATCATAACAGAAGAAAATGTCCATTGGTAACAATATTTAACTTCATAAATGGTGTTCCCATTTTGTATCTAACGATCATCATCTAATTTATTTTTTCTTCATGCAGCTCAATGATAAGTACGAGGACGTCTTCCAAGATGAAGAAAGCTCTCAAGAATCTCATAATGTACCCTTGACAGAATCAGATAACACTCAAGAAAGTGCATGTTTATTCATTCCTGTTCCTGGTTTAAGTCAGATCTCTAGCCAGAGCTCTATTGTAGCAGAGCATGATTCAGATCCTACTATATATCCTAAAGTGGTGTCTGAAAGTAATTTTAGACTTCATGAGAGACTGAAGAAAATAAATATTGGGACGAGAAAGATAACTTTCCAGGGAGATCACAATGGTATATCAATGCCGACCAACCTTCCATATTCACCAAAAAAAGTAACTTGGAAAGGGAAAGAAGCAATGACTTCAAACCAGTTACAAGCTACAAGGGAGAGAAAAATTGGCAAACTTAAGCCTATAGGGGGCAAGGGGATGTAGAATTTGTTTTGTATTTAGTGTCATTAAGTGTTATGTAAGGAGAGAATGAAACAATGACTCCAAACAACTAGTGTTTTTGCTGATTTTTGTACTCTTAATGGTTGTTAGACAACTACAGTATGACTCCAAGCAACTTGTGTTTTTGCTGATTTTTGTATTATTAATGGTTGTTAAGACAACAATCGACTCCAAAGTGTTACCTTTCTAATATCAATATGGTTTAGCTATGTGTATTGTCATAAGTTTATTTTAGTAGTATTATGTTTTATGGTTGGAAGTTGCAGAAGAAAGAAACAGAATATCACTCCAAACTAATGAGAAAGACATGAATAACTTGATAAGAAATGTGCAGCAATTTTATCGAGTTAAATTTCTATAATGGAAAACAGAAGCAGATTAATTAAAAGAAGCTATGAATAAGGGATGTATTTCGCGAAATAAGTAGTATACTGAAAAAATACCCTCTTCATTAGGACTAGTCCAGACTCTGGAGGTGGTGTAAGTATTTCCAAAATCCATCATGTTCTTAAGGAACTCTAATAAATGTGCCGTTTTTCTTGCTTTTGATTACCTGTTTTTACTAACTAAATATCCATGTATACTGTAGTCGTCTTGACAGGAATTCTTTAGACGGAACAATTCCATCAACCCTCAAAAGTCTCACACTTATGAGTGAACTGTGAGTAGACAAGCATAATGTTAATATTACCTTGATATGATCTCTTTTTTTTTATGAGTTTATCGGACCATCTATAAATTTTCTATATCACTTGCAACTTCTTATCAAACAATAAATTCACTGGCCCTTTGCCTAATCTCACTGGCATGAATGCCCTCAACTACTTGTAAGTTCCTTGACATACTGATGTTCTGATTGGAACTCTATTCTGCTAAGATAATGAATCAATCTTGATGTTGTGATATCACATATTATGTCTTTAGATTACTTTAATTTGATTTTGTGTCCAATGGTCATGTTTTGCAGAGATATGAGCAATAATACATTCAGCTCAGCTGATTTTCCACAGTGGTTTTCATCTTTGCAATCATTGACGACTTTGTATCCATCTCTCTCTTGCTTTCGCTTTATCTCTTAACACATGCATGTATGTATCTGTCCCTGAGTTCAAGTGACTCAGCAGAACTCACATGCATCTAAGCGTACATGTTATCGGATGAAGTGTTTCATAGAGTTTGTTATGCACCTCATCTGTATTTGTTCTGCTCATAGAGTAATGTTCTCACTCAACTTCAAGGAGAAATTTCGCCAACCCTCTTCAGTCTTTTTCAGTTACAGACTGTGTGAGTGTTCTTTTACTTTTAGGCCACAGTGCATGTCATGCAACTATTCTCATTTTTTGCTGCGTGCTAGACTTGTAACGAAGTTTGAGGTAGTACAAAGTGACCTAGTATATGATTCTATGTTTTGTATTTCAATTTTACGACAATGAGGTGGTTATTATGACAGCAACTTGAGGGGAAACAAGATCAATGGAACCCTGAATATTGCATCCAACTATAACGGTCAACTAAAACTGATTGATTTGCAGAACAGTTCCATCGATTCATATATAGTAAGACCTGGATTTTCTTTTCAAATACTGTAAGTCCTCGAGTCACTTTTTCTCCACTTTAGCAATGAGAAAGAAATGCTGGATCATTCATGTTAGGACAATTGATTCTTCTGAATACAATTTAGTCATTTAACAATCTCAGTTTTCTACTTGTTCACTTGGCAGACTTATGCATAATCCAGTTTGTTATGAAAAAGGATCAGAAGACTACTGTGGCAATTCCCAAACGAACTTTGGATATTCAATTCCACAAGATAATTGCCTTAAAACACAATGCAGCTTTGATCAAATTCTTAGCACCTTTCTTTTCCGACTTGACAAACACAAGCATTTATGAGTCACTTCAGAAGTCTATGCTATCATATTTTAGCCAAAATCATGTGCCTGTAGATTCAGTTTCCTTGAGTAATCCAAAAAAGAATTCAGAGTACTACCTTGTGTTACACCTGCAAGTTTTTCCATTTGACCAAGTTCATTTCAACCGTACAGGGATTGCCACAATTGGATTTGCACTTAGAAATTGGTTTTAAGACCAGTGGGTCATAAATTTTGAAATGTTTAATGAAAATCCATGTCACTTTTGCCATGTCAGCAGGCAGTTAAAAAAGGGCAATTTTAAACCTTAAAAAAACGTTAAGGGCATTTTTAAACTAATAGATGGAAGGAGGGCATTTTTGAACCATTTGGAATACGTTGAGGGCATTTTTAACCTTTCCCCATCTATAATTGATAGTGATTTATATTTAAAAATATATTCAAGAAATTCAATATATATATATATATATATACACCAAACCGAAAAGATCCAAATCAAAAAGAAAAAAAGCAAACCAAAATAAATTTATTTTGATTTGGATTGATTTACACTTCTTCAAAACTAAAAACAGAAAATCCAAATCGAAATAGCATAAAACTGAATGCACACTCTTACCTCAAATGACTCTTAGGCAATAGCAATATATTATCTAATTTAGGAAGACTCATCGTTACAAAAAGGGTAATAGTGAAAATATTTGATGGATTGATATTCCTTGGTCTAATATATTTAATCGTTAGAGTGTTGATAAAAAAAAATTGATTTAAAATTACTAGCGTCGATTAATATTGGATGCCCTTCTTAGCAAGTCTATACTCCACTTTGTTTTGCTCCCAGTATACATAAAATTGATAGATGATAAAATTGTTTTGATGCACTAATGTAATTATAATCTTAACGTCTGTTAATATGCAAAGCATGAAAATTTCGTTTCAATTTGTGATACATAAATTATGTAACAAAGCCTTAAGCTCCGTTTTAATAGAGTTTGTGTGAGAAATTGAACTATCCAATTACCCATATAATCTTTAAAAACTTCAATTTTCATTTATTTGTAGATCAATTTTACTTTTCATTCATCAATTATTTAATGGACTTCTAGTTTCATTCTTATAATAATCATAACATATTTAACTTTAAATAAATTTATGTGTGAAAATTGTATCCCTTCTGCGAATAAAAAGTATATATTGATAATAACTAAAAAATGTTTTGATAGTAAATAATTATTAAAAATTATATAATTTAAATAATTAAAAATTAAATATAATTAATCAAGTATTATGAGGATCAAATTTGAAACTCACTAACTAATTGAAAGACTTATAATATAATTCTCTATTATTTCTTTTAAATCATTGTGTATGAGAGAGTGGAAACAACTTTTTTAGTTGATATAAAAATAATATTTTCAAAGTCAAATAAGTGCAAACCTCCTATTTCTCAAAAGGAAAACACAGTGTTAACTATCTACTTTGAAAGCTATTATATGATTGTGTTTGGAAGGGAGTCAAGTCCAACTATTATGGTTATCACAAAAAAAAAAATGTTAATACATCATAGAACACTTTTTTTTAGAAAAATCAGAAGCTTATCACAGAAGTAGATTTTTGAAGCTGGCAAGCAGGATACAACCTTATAAATGGGGTTTTGCTTGACAGGGATCACCCTAAAGAAAGGAAGTCACTTTGGTTGTTATTCCAACATTCAATTAATATAATAGTAGGTTTTATGACATGATATTAAGGTTCTTCGGGGCGGATACCTATTCCTTGATATCTCTATCACTTATATACACGTGTAACAATTCACTCTGTGGCTATTTAAATACACCTCGTGTGGAGTCACAAAAAATTCTTGAAATTTGATGCTAAATTATAAATTGGATCACACAATAAAACTATTATAATTGAATTGATTCGGGCTGACATCACTTCGTCGTAGCAGGAGAGGAAGCCTCCCACTATGGTGAAGTTGGCGCCTGCATGAGCAAATAAAGTTGTAGAAATTTCACGAAAGTATGGAGAAATCGAGGATGTATTACTAATTATGATGTTGAGTTACAAGCTCCTCATATAAGAGAAGAAACCTATTTTTTGATTATACTAGGAATCCTACTACAACACAAATAATTGCATGAGTAGTATTGTATTACAGGTCAAATACCTTATCCTAGTCGATTCCATTAATATTCAGTAGCTTAGTTATACATAACTTAGGATTAAGTAGTCTAGTCCTAGTATGACTCGAACTCTAACTCGTCAGCCTGCTTCGATGGACCTATTCTTTCGACATGTTCCATCAGTTGTCAAGCTTCCTTCAACACTTCCCTCAAGCTAGTGAGTGGAGGAACTGTAATTCCTAGCTTGCTGCGAAAACCAGAGAAAACCTGTTTTGTCAAGGCTTTGGTATGAATGTCAGTTAGTTGATCCTTAGAGTTCACAAACTTAGTAAGAGGTTGTCCCCTGACCACTTTGTCACGAACAAAATAATATTCCATTTCAACATGTTTGGTTCTAGCATGCATAACTGGATTAACTGTCATGTATAAGACACTCATATTATCACAGTACAACGTAGGAACAGATCGAAGGAACACTCCAAGGTTATGAAAAAGATACAAAATTCAAGTCATTTCTGTGGCAGTGGAGGCTAATGCTCTATACTCAGCTTCAGCACTCGATCATGCTACTGTGGTCTATTTCTTGGATGTCCAAGAAATACAATTTGCACCTAGCTGGATGCTATAACTTGTAGTTGATCTCCTATTTGTGGTACAACCTCCCCAATCAACATCTTAGTAGTCATACAATCACATGGTGATTGTGAAATAATTCTGGGTCCAAAGTGTAGAGTACCTTTGATGTAACTGAGAATCCTTTTTACCCCTTGAAGATGTTCAAAGTTTAGACTTTGCATGAACTGTCTTGCTAAATTCAGAGTATGAGTGATATCAGGTCTTGTGAATATTGAAGGCTCTTTATTATCATTCTATAAAAGGATACATCTACAAGACTTCCCACAACTTCATGTAAACCATGTTTTTGAGCCAAATGAGTGGCTACACCCTTTGCCAAAGTCATCTATGTCTTGGCCAACAACTCAGCAACATGATGCTTCAATATGTATAGCTTTTTATATTTCATGATCAACGACACTAACCTACAGTTTGAGTGTCTACGAATAGAAGCTAGTAAAGTAACCTAACCAAGGGTTACGGTCGTGTTCCAAGAGAGTGGTAGTGAAAGTAGTAGCTACTTAGAATTCCGTTCTAAATAGTGACAGCTCAAGACATTTTCAAATATTAAGACAAA